TTGCTTTTGTTTTTCTTTGTGCACTCTGATGTAAGCTGTAGGCAGAGAGGGGTCATGGGTTGGGAACATGATGGTGGTTGATATGTTTATGCTTGATGAAGATATTGGTTGATACATGATGGTTGATGAAGATATTGGTTGATACATGATGGTTGATGAAGATATTGGTTGATACATGATGGTTGATGAAGATATTGGTTGATACATGATGGTTGGTGAAGATATTGGTTGATACATGACGGTTGATGAAGATATTGGTTGATACATGATGGTTGATGAAGATATTGGTTGATACATGATGGTTGATGAAGATATTGGTTGATACATGATGGTTGATGAAGATATGGTTGATACATGATGGTTGATGAAGATATTGGTTGATACATGATGGTTGATGAAGATATTGGTTGATACATGATGGTTGATGAAGATATTGGTTGATACATGATGGTTGATGAAGATATTGGTTGATACATGATGGTTGATGAAGATATTGGTTGATACATGATGGTTGATGAAGATATTGGTTGATACATGATGGTTGATGAAGATATTGGTTGATACATGATGGTTGATGAAGATATTGGTTGATACATGATGGTTGGTGAAGATATTGGTTGATACATGGTTGATGAAGATATTGGTTGATACATGATGGTTGATGAAGATATTGGTTGATACATGATGGTTGGTGAAGATATTGGTTGATACATGGTGGTTGATGAAGATATTGGTTGATACATGATGGTTGATGAAGATATTGGTTGATACATGATGGTTGATGAAGATATTGGTTGATACATGATGGTTGATGAAGATATTGGTTGATACATGATGGTTGATGAAGATATTGGTTGATACATGATGGTTGATGAAGATATTGGTTGATACATGATGGTTGATGAAGATATTTGTTGATGCATGATGGTTGATGAAGATAGTGGTTGATCCATGATGGTTGATGAAGATATTGGTTGATACATGATGGTTGATGAAGATATTGGTTGATACATGATGGTTGATGAAGATTGGTTGATACATGATGGTTGATGAAGGTATTGGTTGATACATGATGGTTGATGAAGATATTGGTTGATACATGATGGTTGATGAAGATATTGGTTGATACATGATGGTTGATGAAGATATTGGTTGATACATGATGGTTGATGAAGATATTGGTTGATACATGATGGTTGATGAAGATATTGGTTGATACATGATGGTTGATGAAGATATTGGTTGATACATGATGGTTGATGAAGATATTGGTTGATACATGATGGTTGATGAAGATATTGGTTGATACATGATGGTTGATGAAGATATTGGTTGATACATGATGGTTGATGAAGATATTGGTTGATACATGATGGTTGATGAAGATATTGGTTGATACATGATGGTTGATGAAGATATTGGTTGATACATGATGGTTGATGAAGATATTGGTTGATACATGATGGTTGATGAAGATATTGGTTGATACATGATGGTTGATGAAGATATTGGTTGATACATGATGGTTGATGAAGATATTGGTTGATACATGATGGTTGATGAAGATATTGGTTGATACATGATGGTTGATGAAAATATTGGTTGATACATGATGGTTGATGAAGATATTGGTTGATACATGATGGTTGATGAAGATATTGGTTGATACATGATGGTGGTTGATATGTCTCTCTCTCTCTCTGTCTACATATGCTAAGGGTATCTAAGGGTGATTATTTATTTTTTCTTTGAACTGCTGGTTCACAGTACTTTACCAGCGATTTTACGTTGTAAGTGTAATCACCCTGGAGTACGTAGAATACGCAGCAGTTTTCTCATCTTGTCGAGGATGGTCCACATACTGTACATATTACTGTATATAATGTTGGGTTTGATATATTCTGAATCATTGCCAACTATCCTCCCAGTGTTTATCAGCTTATCACTTTATCACCATATTTTGTTTTGCTGGGCATGGATTCACATCAACCAACACGAATACTATTTACTTCCACTGTTTTGATGAAAGAATTCACATGATCAAACCCTGGTTGATTCTTTTGTTGTGGGGCATAGAAATGGGTTTTGATACGGATAACTTTGTTGATATTGCCGAACAGACAATGGACCTGAAGACAGGAATGAATGACGCAAGGAAATCATTGCATACTTTCGCATTTTTGTCATGGATACACAGATGGATACGGGAATGTAAGGATTGGTAATTGTCAGTAGTGGATAGTACTGGGTGATGGTTATATATGATAGGGGGAAATGTGGATAGAAAGGTCATGTGGATGATCAGCCAGGAGTCAAGGTTTCTTGATGTTTGAGAAGCTACCGTCTTTCCTGTCATGTTTTTTTGGAGACACCTCGAAAAAAATGTGTCCAGGGTCCCTTTAAATACATCACAGCTCGATCATGCTCATGCCCTTGAATGGACTGCTCTTGGAGCCCGAGCTATGGAAACCAGGCATGTGGATTATAACCAATAGCTCTCCGGGGAGTTAACCAGTGGAACATTTCCCACTTTAATGGTGCTTACGCTGTCCAGGCAGAAGAGCTTGACCAAGTGCCGCTAGATGAGGTTGGGTGAGTTCGGGTTCAGGGCAAATGTGAGTTCTTTCATTTAGGCAGTCAAGAATTGCCGATCAAGAGTTTGGGATTTTGAATTTTCGGATATTTTTGGGCTGGGAGAATGTAAGGTGCATTCACAATCATTCACACCTCTATGTGATCTATGTGCATGTTTTGCCAATGATGTGCTGGGACGCTGGCGTTGCGCTGATGCTCGGGCCAGTTGACTTCCATCGGATCCAGGCCCTGCTCGGGCCTGGAGAATTGCAGACCGGATGACCGGATGTTGCAGTGCCGACACCACTTCATTCAGAAAGTCTATTTGTAAACATTTCATAACATTTCCAAACAAAATAAACCATCGAAGAAATCTGCTGGTTGTTGAGGCATGGTTCTGGAGAATGTCGGCCTTGCGCTTTTCTAGGCGACCCTTTCCTCAAGGGTTGGGCCAAGCAATCTTTTGGATGTTCATATTATTTTCATTACGTAACCTGGCAACCAGTTGTTGCCATCATGAAATGGACCTTTCTCGGGACTCGGGCGTGGCGCGTGTGGAGCCAGTCCCATCCTTCGTTTTGCACTGGATTATGATGAGCTGAATGGAGAGCCCTTGACCCTCGTCAGTTTTGCTTTGAAGAAGCAACATAGAAAAAAGAACAATGAAATGATTGAACAAATCAGTAGCATAGTGTGGTAGGCTTGTACTTGGTAGATTGACATGCTCTGCCCTTGAAAGTGGAACAGACACCTGCAGGTTCTGTCATTTCCCACACGATGCCCGTCGAAAAGTCCGGCTGGGACGGCGGAAGAGGTTGGCAAATTCTGCAGCTTCAAAGGATCACCCAATGTCCGATTCACGTTACGACAAGCCACATGAAGTAAATGAAGTACATATAAATAGTGTGGTGAACCCAATCATCATCAATCATCTCATTGTTTCCCATCATTTTCCCATCATTTTCCCGTATTTTTCCATGTTTTCCTTATCATCACTGGGTGGGTCCCTTGTTTCACCATCCCCTTGCGGCCGCCCAGGGGCCCAGGCCATAGGAACTATGGGATTTCAACCCCCAGTTGGGATATTAATCCGTTAATAATGATATATCATGGATTGTACTGGTTAATAATGGTTAAGAATGGAAAAAATATTGGTTAATATTGGTTAACAATGGTTAAGAATGGTTTTAACCCATTAATGTTGGTTAATATATTGGGGGCCCCCCAAAGTTGCAATGATGGACAAATATCACTTAAGATCACTTAGTTCATTTAGTTCACTGCACTGCCAAGTGACCAGATGTACAGAGGTGCACAGATGTGCTACTTGCGGTAGCAAGTAGCAAGTAGTAATGCTTCTTTGTTCCAATTTCTTCGTCAATTTTCACCACATTGCTTTTGTCCTTGTTCAAGAGGCAGTGTGAGGAAATTGTGAACAGAGTGTCAATTTCGATTGGGGAAACAGTGGGTTTGGGACGTTTGGGAGACAAGGTTCTGACATTCTCAGTTTGTCACGAAAGCTAGCTTCTGCTAGCTGAAGTCCCTCTTGCTTTAGCAAGGTATTGGGAGGGCTGGAATCTCCAATTGCGTGAAACTTCACAGTTAACTACCCCTCCCCCCGGCTGGTTCACAAGCAGCTTGGCCGTGGCTCAATTGCCCCCGGGGACACTGTCGGCATGTCGCCACCGGAAGCAACATCGGCAGCATCCACATCCTCCGCATCATTGGCATCGTCAATAGGGCATGGTTTAATACATTGCAGTACTATCTTTGGAGGATGGTTTTTCATCATGTGTAATGCCCTGTGTGTTTTCATGCCTGCCGAGCTAGCTTTCGTCCCTTACCCCTGGGCCTCAACTTGAAATGCATTCGACTGCTAGGCACATTCCTATCTCGTGGCCTATTGTGAAGCAGAAGCTTGTCAAAAACCAATCCCCATGAAGCTGGGTGGCTGTGTCGGTGTAGGTGGATTGGTCTCCTACACGAAATTGAATAGATGGGTAGAATCCGTTGGATTCTTGAACAGATGCACATACTACTGCCACCACAAGCAGCAAACATGTTCTTCACCGAGGACATGCGGCTCCGGCTCCTGAGGCAAAAAGACCAGCTGTGTGGGTAGTGGCAGAAATAGGGAGGGCAGGCATCACTGATTGTTTGGTGTTTTGTCCTCTTCAAAAGGCATCATGACTTTGCTTCATATTACGATTGCATGTTATTGTGCAGCTTTTCGAACACCTGTTAGCTGTTACAGTCTGGACCAGACTGCAACCCAACCAATTGATTCAACATGAGAATTTGACTGCCAGCATATTTCCCAGAGTGTCCAGGTATTGTGTATGACCTCGGAAGTACCAGATTCATGATTTTGTTGTTGCGTGACATCATGTGACATCAGAGTTTTCCTTTCCATAAAGCAATCCAAATCACCAGTAGAGCGGTGCTTTCAAGCTGTGGCCATGGACTGGGGAGCCGGCATTGTGGTGGAAGCAAACACAGCCCCTCGGCAATGTGCTAGTTATCCTCACGAATCATGTGTACTGTGTGGCCTGTGTGCGTGTTTGGCTTGTTATACTATATAATTATACTATGTTCTACTGTTCTGTCTTTTTTTCCGCGTATATAATATACATTGGTTCACCCAAGCGATGCGTGTCAGAACATGTCAAGACCGTTTCCACTTCGGAAGAAGCTTTTGAACTTTTGAAAGTGATATTTTTCTCTTGGACTGAGAAGCACGAATTGCACATTTGCCAGCACATCTCATTGCAAGAAAGGCCGAAGAAGCAGAAGAGTTGAAAGAGGAGAAGCCCAGATTTGCTTGTTGGATGGTGCAATGAATATGGGTGACAGTGAAGCCAAACAACTCTGAAATGAGCAGATGAGCATCACACTAGAGTCTGTTCATGTCTGTTCTGCCCATTCTTGAAGTTGTTCAACTGAGTAGGGTGAAATAACCCATAGGCAGGTTCGAATTTATGAAAGAACTCTGGTATCCTTTAGTCGCCTGCATTCACTGAAAAGCAACCATTTGCTACGGATTCCGGGCACATTCCTGATTCAGCCGGAAAAAAAAGTTCCTGAGCCTCTTCTCTGAACAGAAAGTGTTTGGTTTTCATCCAATACGTTGCACTCCAGTGCAAGGAAATGCAGCTCGCCTGCAGTGCTGGTTTTTCTTTTTTGTTGAAGATAATACCGAATAATACCTTGAATTTAATGGAAACATCAAAACGGTCAAAGTTGCTGCTGTCATTTGTTTGGTCTGGCGGCAGTGGCACACCACTGAGAGGACATTTTACAGAAAGCCGCGTTGCTTCGCAAGTTCGACCTTGTAGAGGACTTTGCTTCAGCGATTTGCCTTTCGAAACTTGGGCTGCTGCTGGGTCATGCGTTGATTCGGGAGCCCGCTGTGCACGTTTGAACATATTCGAACATTAGAGAATTAGAATGAATTAGAATATTCCATACAGGCGTTCGAACCATCTGCTGTACCGTATCCGATTCATCTGGCTCTCAATTCTACAGTTCCCACAGAACTTCTTCACCAGCTTTCACATCAAGAGGAGCCATTCACGCCTCAAGGTGCCCCGTTTGCTGCTGCCAATAATCGTATGTCTAAGGGCAGTGAGTCTTTGAGATCTTTTGTTGAAAACATGTTGGCAGGCGATGATGAGGAGGAGAACTACTTCATCGTAGCTGGGGCTCTCAAAGAGGAACACGGGCTGTGGATGCCACTTGAGCCAAAATAGATGGGTGGGTTTGGAAAAGGCCAGCCAATTCGCTAACAACTTTGGCAGAATTTGATATTACTATATATATATATACATATATATATATATCATTACATATATTATCTCTCTCTCTCTCAACTCTCTTTATCAACATATATATATATGTATTATATGTATACATGTATGTAATGTAATGTAATGTAATGTAATGTAAATGTAATGTAATGTCATGTCATGTCATTTATGGTATGGTATGGTATGTATGCATGCACATACAGACAGGACTACCAAGCTATTTCAGGCCAACTCCCAGTGGGTCGTTATTCTTCAGCATCCCAATCCCAAGGTCAAAGACGAGCTTGAGAAGTTGGCTGGGCATCCCAGCAAGCTGGGCCTGGGCTAGCCATCGCTTAGAATGGTCGGATATCAATGGATGCCCATTCCAACTGATTCCAACTTGGCTCGAACCACGCAATCGTGTGCTTGGAAGATCATTCGATGCTTCGCACCTTCATGATCGTTTCAGAAGTAAGTCTCATTTTCAAACTGCAACCAGACAGAGGGTTCTAGCTTTCAGAGGCCCCTGCAGTTGGCTTCGTCCGCCTTCGGGATGTGTTCCCTTGCCTTCGTTGTGATGGAGGTGTCGAGCAAGATGTGGAAACCGCTCTGAACACGATGGCACACGGGTATGGATCTGCGAGGTTTGAGCTGACAGTCAGGACCAACATGCTCGGATTTGAGCAACGAGGAAGCCCACCATTCGTGGAGTCAACATTTACCTGCCGAGCAGGATGTGGAAAGGGCTGCACAGTGGAGGCAGATGAAGGAATCGGAGGAGGCACAGTCGTCCAAGTGGCAGTCAGCTGCATGGTGATACTACATTGTAATGATACTACCAATGGCTACGGAAGCAATTAAATTCCAAACTCACAGTTCCAGCGCTATTACAGCAAAGGTTGGCAGACCAAAGAATGACTTTACAGGAAGCGACTTTTAGGAGTGGACTTGCAACGAGGTGAATTCGTGATGATTATATTATATATATATATTATAGATCCAAAAGTGGGTTTGATGGCCATGACAAGGGCTAGCATTATGGAACACCCACTGGTGAAGATGGTCTGTTTCCAGAATTATTCAAGCCAGCTTGCGAGGGTGCAGACAATTTGGCAAAGGCCAACATTGGAAAAGCCAAGGCAGCAGAACGAACCCACGAAAGATTGAGAGAGCTGGTGCATGTCCACGTTTGGGCTGCACTGCAATTGAGTAGATTGCTGTTGATTATGCCGCCAAAGAGGATGGCAAGGCAGCGTAACAAGCGAGCGAGCGAGTGAGTCAGTGAGTCAGTGAGAAGCCTTGCATTCTCCATCCAATCTCAGACCTCATACGTTCTGCTCAGTGCAGAAGAGTGCATGGACCGGCAATGTGGCGGAATTGCTAAGCTGCGTTTCCGCGAGTGTCTAGACTAGACATGTCTTGGGATGGCCGCAGAGATTCAATAAAAGTCTTTTCTCAACTGATGAGAGATGAATCGTAATATACCTAATGATCAGAGAGACGCACTTCGTGGCTCAACAGCCGTTGAGTAGGTTGATCCCTGCAGGACACGGAAAGCACCTTGGATGAAGATGCGATGCTCAGACTTCTGGATGTCCCTGAGGAGCTGGGGAGATTGGGAACCGTGGAAACGTAAGTTCTTGTGCGATATATAATTGTCCTTGGTGCTTGACGGTTGCCTGGGGTTCTCATATTCTGCTGTACTCTGTTATACTACTATACTAACTGGCTTTATGGGATCGTCATGATCCACTGTGATTATGGAAATCTTGGTGTTTGCTCCAAGCAGTGTTTACCAAATGGTCTTTATGGGATGGTCCTAGGATTGCATAGAGATGACAAGATAGAGGCAGAATCGGGAATTTCTGAGCCGTTGAGGCCCTCTGATTCCTTTGGAACTTAGTTGCGACTTGATTTGCTTGAGGGTATGTGGACAGCCAGGCAGCTGGCTTGACAGCTCTGCCGGAGGCCAGGGTTTGTGCACAGTTTGTGAATCTGCTTGATTTTCAGAGGTTTGAGATCTGGAGTGTAGAGGATGCTACATTAGGCTACATTGGCTCTTTAACCACATCGGAGACCCTGAGCAATTCCTTTGCTTGACCCGGGCAGCCGGGCAGTGCTAGGATGTCGTTGTCATCCACCAGAATGACTTCCCCTCATTGCCCTAGACTCAATCTCTGTTTGCCGCAGCTTTGGAAGAGCACGTCTGCCATATACCTACAGCAACGTGCACTCATCGTGGCTCCTATTTCTCCATGAAGACCTGTAGATGTGGAAAGATAGTAAGTGCTTGCAACATCTTACAACCACAGTGTCCACCAGTTTGCCACCTTCTCAAGTACCACCACGTCCACAAACTCTTTTGATCCAACGCACTCTCCTGACGACGGGCTAGCTGTCTGATCTGAGGTACTCACAGATCAGGGCGTTTTTGGACAGCGCTGAGGCAGGTTTGGATCTAGAGACATGGTCAAACATCCTATTTTATTGATATATATTGATATTGATTTTCAATGCTTCACAGCCCTGATTCTGAGTTTCACTCCGGGCATGGATGCTTGGCAGAAGTGGAATCGTTTGCAAGCCAGTTTCTTTGCACCAATTCAGGGTTAATGCTTAGCGCGGATCATAAATACCAGTTCATATCCATCCATACGGAGTCAGACCTATTTATATAACCCATTCTTTTTGGTTCAAGAACCACATGCAACTTTGTGTGTCAATTGTTTCTTTTGGGCCAAACTGCTTGATCCATTTCTTGGTGGAACAAACCAGGACTCTGACTCAGAGGAGCACTCGGGAGAGGAAGGACAAGAGGTCTCCAGCTGTACATAGAAAAAATCAAGCGATGTCAAAAGTGTGTCTGATCGTTCTGCACTGATGATTCAGTTGCACGGCATCAACAAAACTACTGGTTGATACTGGTTGCATGGCTGTGGCTTATGTAATTTGCAGATCCCACTGGGTTTTCTCTCACAGTTGCAACACTTTTTTTTTGCGGGGTATCCTCCAAACTACGGCGTCCCTGATTTGGCGTCGCTGATCGGCATGGCTCAAGGCTCTTTTGACATAGCCTGAGCCAGCTTGTTTCAAGTTTCGGGGATTTCTCCCATGCAGAAAAGGAATCGCTTCAGGTGTGCCATCAGTCAGGTACTCTTTTCAAAACCGAACCTTGAATATGATCTGTACATGGTGCATAAACATGATTAATTAACAATACCAACCAGTTTTCGCAGAATATGTGTTAAGACCGCAAAATCTCGCATTCAACCAGGCTTTGCACTTTGATTTCTTTCATGCCTAAGCAAAAGCTTTCCACATGACACCCTGAACCGCTTTGAGCCATCCTTGCCTCGCCTGAGAATTCGTGCCTCGCTATGCGGCATCGGTATATTCAGGACAATGGACCCGGCACCACAGTTGCGAGTTGCGTGTGCAGGGTGTCACCCGTGTGGTGTATATGTAACGAGGTCAACATCTAAGAGGTGCCTAGAGGATCCTTTGTCAAAGGTCGGCGGGAACAGCCGATTTTATCATGACTATTGTGCGACGCGAACGGATGATCTAAGAGAATGGCCTTTGCACGAACTTACGGCATGATCATGCAGTTCACATCAATCTATATAAGGTTGTAGTCCAGAATGGAGAAGCAATTCCAAAAGATCGTTCATATCATGTTTCAATCCTTCGCGAACATTTTTTCCGAGTTCAACATATACAGCGAAGAATGGGCGTTTCTGGATGAAACAAAATCTATCAACCACCATACATAAGATAGAAAGTATGTTGACGTCATTGACGTTATTTCTTTGCTTCTCCCAACTCCAACGAACTGAGAGGCATCCATGCTTGTGGCCGGCGCGGCTGGGGCTCTGCGAGGCCAAGAGCATGTGGAAGAAGTGGAAGAATATAGGGATAGAGAATCTCAGCAGATTCCCCAAAAAGGTGAATAATGTAAGACGAGTAAACTTGGGCTGCCAACCACTTGTCGTTCTTCGGTGCTGCAAGCCTTTTCCAAAGCTTCTAGAAGATCTGTGTTCAGTAGCCCGGTAATATGAATCGAATTTATAAGATGTGAAATCCTTCACTCATAGGGAACTGCAAAAACACGACGTTTTTGAACGTCGTGTTGACGGTTGCGTTGGCTATGTATGCACATTCTAAAGTCAAATTAGACCTACCTTTCTCTCACCACTGACAGGTACCGCCTGGTGCGCCTCTTGGGCGAGGCGGCGTTTGGGTGGCCCGTTTCTGTCGTGATTACGGCATCCCCGGGCCCAAATCATTGCAGATGTCGTTGGGTAATCGGGTAGCCAATGTCTGCCACTCTGTAGGAGAGGGTTGTTGGATCCGGTTCTTGTCGGCAGCATTCCTGGCTTAAAGTGGTAGCAGATGGTAGCAGAAACAAGAAACCATAATTGCATGCAGCCATGTGACCAGTCAACCAGTGGGTTTGGATCACTCCCAGAACAATTTAGACCTGCAATTGGGTTGTGGTTTAATCATCATCCCCAAAATTGGATGTATTGCCACTAAACCAACACCAAAACAATGAAATAAATATTCAGTGGTGTAAAGCTCCAAAATATGCAAAAAAACATGTACATCACATTCATGAATTTATAAAGCAAAAACATCGCTGTCGCTATGATGCCTTGCCGCTGATGCTTCAAGCGCTTCGCGCCTGCGCGATAGCCACAATTCTTGGAGCGGTTTTGGCACGGCCCTGCACCCGAAACTCGGTGAATGGTGGGCCCATTTTTCAAACGGAGCTGTATGGGTATTGAAATGGGGGAGGATGCCAATGGAGTCACAAAATTGGCGATTTTAAACCTATTTTTAGTGTTCGTTTTTCTCCCAAACAGTGTGTCCACACTGAGGGGTTCTTACGGTAGGAGTTAAAGGCTGGGGTTAGATCAGGGTGCTCCATCTGGGCCACGGCATTTTGGCTGTAAATTCTCGCATAAAAGTTCCCTTGTGAGATGTCCATGTGCATTTCGACTGCGCAGGCTCGCACACGATGAGCGCTGCGGGGTTGTCCCGGTCTTGGTCTGCTGCATTTTCATTGTAAATTCTCGCATAAACGGCCTCTTCTGAGATGTCCATGTGAATTTCAACTGCGCAGGCTCGCACAAAGTGTGGGCCGCGGTTTGCCTTGGGCTCATTTTTCGTGGCAGGCGCAGTCCTTCGTAGACCTCGACAGAAAAGTGGTTGAAACCCGCAACCCCCTCGTGATTTTGGCCGGTCGCATCGCTCTTGCTGTGGCGCAGCGCGAATTTTGATATCCCTCGGATCGCTCTCGCTGTGGCGCGGCCAGCGTCTTGATATCGCTCTCGTTGTGGCGCGGTGCGCGGTTTGATATCGCTTGCGCATGCTTGCACAACCTTCTCGTGACTTTGGGCATGTCGGCTCGCTCTGGTTGTGGCGTGGTGCTGATTTTAGCAGATTTGTCTGAGATCCTGGTAAAGCGATCTTATGAGTTTTGTGCAAGGCCTTCTTTGACAATCTTACAAGAGTTTCATGGTGCAGTCTTAGAGATCCGTTTGATATAATATATATATATACTATATATATATATATCCATATATATATATATAAATAAATATGATGCTCTCGACCAAGGTCTTGCAGAGGTCCTTGTGAGAAGATGGTGTGGAGCTCCTGATGAGGTCCTGTCAAAGGTCCTTGCATGAACTTGAACAGGTCCTTATGAGAAGATCTTGTGGAGATCCTGGTGAAGTCCTGTCTAAGAGGTCCTAGTATGATCTTGTACAGGTCCTTGTCAGAAGGTCTTGTGGAGATCCCGGAAAGATCCTTTCTGAGAGGTCCTTGCATGAAGATCTTGCAGATGCCATGTCTTAGAGGTGCTTGTATGAACGCTTTTCCAGGATGCTCTTGGGAGGTTCTTGCCTCAAGATCCTCTCCGCCACCAACAGGTCCCTTTCTGACGATCTTGTGGGATTCTCTTAGGGGTCCTGGCATGCAGATCTTGGTCAAGGTCTTTTACATTTCCTTGTGAGAAGATCTTGTAGAGATCCTGGTGAAATCCGCCGAGAAGTGTCCCAGTCTTCGAAACGGATGACGGAACAAATTGCAAAGAAAAACGTCCATAACCAACGAACAGCAATGTTTCTTGCACAATAATCGAAACTTTTTGTTGAAATAGCAGTAGATCTGGGCCCCAAGGATTCAAGGCACGCATCCCCAGCAGTGACGACAAATTCGCACTTAGAGATCTTAGAGTCCGAGGAAATTCACCCAGGTGCATGGTAAAAGCACTCGCAAAATGTTGAAGACATCATATCCGCAGATGTATCAACAGGTGTATCAACCCACAATTGCCCGCCCCAAAAACAACCCAATGGCCACTGGTCCAGGTGAAGACATCCGTTACGGCTTTTCGGAGTGCCACGAGGGTCCTCCAGGTGCTGGACCGGTGCGGGAAGCTTTCGCCTATGCTGAAGACTGTAACTTGGCAGCCAAGAACTCGACCGTGTTGCCGCAGCCGCTGCTGGACCTGCCTTGTGAGCAGCCGTGTGAGTTCAATCACTACCTGCGGGTGAAGGACTTTGACTGGGGAACTGGGGAGGGAAAGGGCCTAGGTTGCCTTGGTCCTTGGTGGCCTTGGTGTATCTTTGCCTGTTGGTTGACCTGGGTTCTATTCTAGGCTCTCTAAGACTCAGGTTTTCACGACTAAAGTCACGACTCAGATGCCCAAATCAATCCAGTCACCAGGAGGACTTTCGGTCATCCAAGCTGAAGGTGAGTTGCGTGCCATGCCCCAGAGGGCAATTCTCCCTTGGTGGTGGCCTCTATGTGGATGGTTCCAATGGAGATTGGTCCAGGACAAAAAACAACATGGAACAACTTTTCTTTGTGAGTCCCGTCATACAATCCCCACCAACCAGTCACCGATTTATTGATTTACATTAAAATTTGAAGGTTGTTGCTAGAAATTGGCCAGTCCAATCCCCCCAAAGTCACAAATTCTGGCAAGTTGGGATGTCCGAGAATCCATTGGGCACCAATGCAGGCCTTGGCCAGAAGGCTTGAAGACCTCTTGTCTCTATCGTTCCAATGATGCACGCTGGGTCTTGGGTGGAGGAGCTAGGCTTACATGTGTTCTGCACGTGAACTCACTTGCGCTGGAAACAAGAGCTGGCACTTGGAACCAGAACTTAGCAGATCAAACGCTGGATGTAGCTCGATCACATTGGCAAGTATTTTCTTGTGGCATTGTAGCATAACACATCACACATACTGGACATACTATATGATACTATATGATACTATATATATATATTCTGTATCCAACTTCCTCACATTTCCTCAACAGTGGTTTGTTGCATTTGAAGATGTGGTTTTTGTGGGGTTCACGTCTTATTGTACCTTTCCAACAGCCTGACCGAAGGGCTTGTATCAGGCTCCTTTGCAAGGCAGCAAGGAAAAAGCAAGGCACTAAGAAACTACTGCATGTTAGTTACTAGGTCCAGCTGATCATAAAATAAGCCCTTCAACCCTACGGCATTTGGACGCCGGGGTGGCTCGAGACATGTGTCGTGTCTTTCTGAAAATTCCACCTCAATATTGCCCTAGAGGCCCTAGTACCTTAGTAACTTGAACTGATCAGATGATCCCAATGAACCCATTTTTTTCATCTTGGAGCTACTGGGTCTCTGATCTTCCCAGGTGCCCCTGCAGATCCTGGGCAATGAGGCTTGTGAATCCCTTCAGCGAAATTTCACCGGTGCCGCCGTCCTGGTGATCCGAGGGGAATGCCCATTTTCCACCAAGACGCAGAATATCGCAGCTGCTGGAGCTAAGGCAGTGATTGTTTACAACAATCTGCAACTATTGCCAGTCAAGCAGGTTTTACTTGGGTTTGTCTGAACGTTTGGGACCCTAACTCCACTGATTCATCATTATTTTTTATTTTCCAATATATATATATATTTCCTCTGTAAACGATCAACAATTTGGCGTGGCATACCTCATTTCAGCCACACCCCCATGTTTTATCACAGTTCTATTTAGGGCATCTGGAAATGCCCGAGGTATGAGCGGCCTCATTTTTACCCAGCAGCAGCCAATGGGACCGCGCCCAGCATTCCAATTTTCATGGTCACCCGCGAAGATGGAGACCGCATCAAAACAGAAAGAACCTCTGCAGGCGGGGCACTTTCCAAGACCTTGGTTGATCATAAAAAAACTGGGCGGTCCTGCTACCCAAGTGGTATCACGGGCATGATGTCACAATCTAGTATGGGATTTCTGGATTTCTTACAAAAAATAAAATATACAAGAGGTTTTCAAGTAGGTTTTAGTTCCACTGCCAAGGTAACTTATTTTTGCGCGTTGCGAGCACTCGATGCAGCTTGGATAGACGTGAAGTTGCACCAGGGGCCCAAAATGTGTCAACTGACGAATCAGGACCTTCTTGGGAAGGTGCTGAGAAGAGTTGTGCGGAGTGGGGTGTTGATCCAAGTGGCACATTTTTACATTCTGGTGACAACCACAATTTCCACTGGTTGTTTTCCTTCTTGACGCTATCCACACGTTTTGTTCGCGATGGCTACATTCGTTTCCGCTATGCCGTGGATGCAGAAGACGGCTACGACGGTCTGCTGTTTGAGATGGATGGCAACCTTGTGTGGAACAAGACTGCAGCTGGACGTGGAAATACTTGGCAGATCCATCTGGAATGATGGTTAGTAAATGTTAGTAATGGGAATTATCCCAATATAGTATTGTTTCAGGTTTCAGGTTAGTGAATTATTACTATTTACTCAGATCCATACATATTTTTCCGAGCCACTTTGAAACATGGATCAAAAGAAGGATTGTCTGTTGAAGAAGCTCATAGACTCTGCGATCCGCCAGAGTTCTGTAAAATGCGCTGTGAATTTTTGTGAAGGGGTTAGTTATTGACCCTTTTTGCTATGTATAATTATATAATATATACACGCACAAACATGTAATAAATACATATATATATTTATATATGTGCATTTACTAAGTCATCTGTATATAATAATATATATATATACACACCATATACACATTTCTATGGTGTGTGTTTTTCGCAGTCCTTGCCTGTTCTTTCGGTTGTTCTTTAGGTCTCCCAAGCAGCTCCCTGGCAAGATTTTCGGCTCCAAGTGCCTCGAGGGTCTCACAGTTTTACCTGGACCTACAGGAAGGACTTCAGCACCTCGTCTGGGGAGGACCACTCATTGACGAGAGACCACAATTGCACTCAACTGATGGTCATGTCACCAAGGTGGTGTTTAGATTGATGATCTAGTCAGTCTCTAGCCTAGAATGGAAATCATGATAGTTTATGTTCAGTTGTCCCTTTTTCTTTAATTATATTTCTTTCATGTGTGACATTCACCTCCCCAAATGTGTTCACATCCACGGAGTGCAGGACAGAGCCAGGCTGGAGCTTCTTGAGGTGTCGGGCACAGCTCATGCAGACGAAGAGTGTCACAGTTGTTCCCTTTTGAGCAGCCCTGGGAGCCAGCGATGTCTGAGCTGTAGCCGCAATCAGTATCTCGGCACGTGATTGATATGATTGATATATGCCATTGGTGCTGAAACGAAAAGAAGAGTGCCATGGTCAAAACTGGGGTGGTATATTGACCATATTGGGGGATGGTGATCCATCTGTTTCTATGTGCACATGTGTGCGCCCACAATAAAGATTTCCATGGATGACCATACCACATACATCATGTTTTGACCGTGGCTCATGTGTTGATACCTTTTTATTTTTCCCATCTCACCTGGGATGATCATGATGATGATCCCAATTCAAGTGATGTTTGCTTTTTTTTTGGTCCCCGGAGACGGTTGCCTCAGCGATTGCAAAACCAGGTATGCCGAATTGGACGATGCTGGTGTGATCCGCTGTTCCAAATGTCCAGCTGGCACTTGGGCGCCTGCTGCGAGCGTCGGAAGGGACTCATGCAGAACAAGGCGGCAGTGCAATGCCCAAGATGTTCAGGTCTTGTACTTGGCTGCGAACGCCTCAATGCGATCCAGTTCAATCTGTCGAAACAACCATACCAACATCAGGGTCAGATGGCGAAAGCCCAAGACTTGCAAGTCAGAAATTGGAGCCAAAGAGCTTGCGGGAATCAGGGGAGGGGCATTAACGCCCCAAGCATGTCCTCCATGCCAACCCAACCAGTGGAGGCCAAAAGGTGGTGCATGTGTGAACCGTCCTGCTGCAAGGTGTTCTCCACCGCTCTATGCTGTTCCAATGTCAGTCATCAAATATTGGCACAGCTGGCCCAAGAACGTGACCTCCTGGATTTGGGGTAGATCTGTTTCAGAAGATCATCCACATGCCTGGCAACTCATGGCGGATGGCCGTGCAGCGGTGGTGGGAAGCGCCTACCTGGGAGAGGAGGTGGATGAATTTTCAGATCAAGCCTTGCTGACTTTGGATGTGGATCTCACAACTTCTAGTGACCTGATCTTTGGCCTGGAGGAAGAACCCCTGGGTGCATGGGGTCAAGGTGGTGCTCTTTATGTGGACCATCAGCCACGTGAAGCTGAAATGGTGACCGAATCCGGCACCACTAGCGTGTGGAAGCTTAAGTTGAACCCAGGGTGGCATTGGATCACTTGGGTTTGGCGCTACAAAGGTCCACAGCCAGAGGAACAGGCAGCAGATACTGGCGTAGTTGTTGGTCAAGGGAGCGGTCTGCGTTTGTTGAATATCTCCGTGACCCACGTTAGAGGTGGCCCGCCTGTCAGCTTCTGAGGTAGAGGGAGGAATGCTGGTGTCATCACGAAAGCTAGCGTCAGCTAGCTGGAGTCTTCTTGCTTTAGCAAGTATTGGGGGGGCTGCTCAAGGACATCACGTGATTTTTCACGCGAAAGGGGGGGACCCCCCCCCTCACCCACCACCACCACCATCACCACCATCACCACCATCATCATCATCATCGTCATCATCATCGTCATCATCATCGTCATCGTCCTCTCCATCGTCCTCTCCATCGTCCTCTCCATCGTCCTCGTCCTCGTCATCATCATCATCATCATCATCATCATCCTCGTCGTCGTCGTCGTCGTCGTCGTCGTCGTCGTCCTCGTCATCGTCCTCGTCATTGTCATCGTCATCGTCATCGTCATCGTCATCATCATCATCATCATCATCATCCTCGTCATCATCATCATCATCATCATCATTCATCATTCATCATTCATCATTCATCATTCATCATTCATCATTCATCATTCATCATTCATCATTCATCATTCATCATTCATCATTCATCATTCATCATTCATCATTCATCATTCATCATTCATCATTCATCATCATCATCATCATCATCATCATCGTTATTCAATTACATTTTATCATTATTGGCAATTATTGTCATTATCACGAAAGCTAGTGTCAGCTCGCTAGAGTCTTCTTGCTTTAGCACGTATTCCGGGGCTCCCCAAGGACATCACGTGATTTTTCCCGTGAAAGGGCCCCCCCCTGCCCCCTCCCCCATATATATCATTGTTATATATCATATATCAATATATCATTGTTGCATCCTCGTTGGGACGAACAATGCCGCGACACGATGATGACAGTCCCTCCGCAACTCACCTCTTCCCTTCCTTCTTTCTCCTACCCCGCTAGCTTTCGTCATCCACCCCCGGCCTCAAGTTTTCATTCTCTCCAATTTTTCAATTCTACTCTTATTCTATCACATCCTCAGAAATTTCATGCAGCTTCCACAACGGAGCGTTGCACACAAGTTTTGGTACAGTTCTGCCCTGGAAAAGTCTCAGGTGCACCTGCTGGTACTTGTCGGAGATGTCCACCGAACCATGGCTGGCGACAGAATGGTTCCCTGGTCAGATTTTGGGTGTGAAAGATCAATATAGTTTAAACATGTTTAAACACATTTGAGGGACAGAAAGACATAGCGTCGGCTTGGGTAGTTCTGAATCCAGGCCAAGGTGCTACGCAATGTCAGCCGTGTGCAGTGGCTACGGAGGAGATTCAGGGCCTCTGCAAACCTTGTGCTGCTGGATTTGCCAATCCACGAAAAGCATCACGTTGCGTGAAGTGTGGCTCAGCTCAAGAAGATTTTGGGAAGGTGGAAACTGTTGATATGGAAGTCGTTACTTGGGCGCTGTCGTTTTAGGTCCCCGCGGATACTCTTTACTTGCTCAAAGATGCAACAGCCCGCTCCCATCGCAGGTACAGTAGTAGACAGTGCTGGTAGTAAAGTAAAAAGATGTGAATATTAGCAATATATATATATCAATATATAGCATATAACTCATATCAACATGCCCGTTCCCATTCCGACTTTGAGAAGACCTTGCGACAGCGACCAAAACTCTGCGAGGTGGACCTGGCACTTCCAGTGATCGGGGCCGTGCCTGCAAGATGAATCCAAATCTCGGTGGAGATGGACAGCTCAGGTGGGACTCGCAACGTTTCCTAAGAACTTGGAGGAACCAAACCCGCAATGCTGGTGGATTCACCAGGATTGTCGTTGAGGAGCGGAGAAGCATGGAGAAACTGGGTGCCTTTTTCAAGGTAACCTGCCAGATCTGGCCGAAATGTTCCAAACAAGTGGTCTGTCATGACTGTCATGACTAGTGTGGCTTCATTTGGGGATATTACGAGTCAAACCTACAATACAAATCAATACAACGTATTTGCATGTATTTCCAACTATTTTGGTGTTCACCAGGGTCTTGAGCCACCATTTCTGCTGACTGGTTGAATCTTGTTGAATCTTGTTGAATCTTGTTAAATCTTGTTGAATCTTGTTGAATCTGGTTGACTTGTGGCGAGGATCGCACCTACTACATGAATTTAGTGCAGCCCATGGAGCTTCCAGGTGCTTCGTTGGAATTTCGAGGTCACCAGGCTTTTGTTTGGGAGGCCTTACCTCCTCGCATGAGTGACGTCTCCACCTGTCCCACCGAAGCCTCCTTCGTGCGACCCGTAGTGGATATGTTGGAAGCCATCAAGCCGAATGAAGGAAGGCCCTCGGGCCTTTGGTTCAACTTCCGGGGAAGGTGCTTTGCAAATGGAGACTCAGCTTATTTAGAGCTTGGGAGCTTGGTGGCTATGGCATGCTAAAGCTTACTCAGAGCGAGTTGAGAGAATTTCAACCATGGAAACAAGTCTGGTAAAACTGTACATCCAGGCTGATATGTAGATGTTGTTTTGTGGAATGTTTCTTCTCGCACTTGGATACACAGGCATTTTTTGTCTTTACGTGTCATTTCTCACGCCGTGAAACGGAGGTGCTCCCATACTGTATCCCTTTCCTTTCGTTTCAAATCCATCATCCCAGCAGTTGGGAAATAGCACCCGTGGATTGAAGTGAATCGAAAGTTCTTTTTTGACATCACAGTGCCCATGGTCCAAGGGTCCCAAGATGTCCTACGCCTTTTTTTTGTCGTTTTCATCACCGGCATCTCCTAACGACATCTCCCATCCTGTGGTGGTGAAAGTTTCGCTTGCATCTCCTGCTGCTCCCCCTGAATCCGCTCTAACCAGCCTGAGGTAAAATAGCAATTTTGGAACTTCAGATGCAACCCTCTCGCACGAAATGAAGGTCGAATGTCAAAAACTGGTGTAAAATTGCATTTTTGAAAGATCAGATGCAACCCTTTCGCACGAAATGAAGATCTAATGGCAAAAACTGAGGTAAAATTGCGATTTTGCAACGTCACAAAGGTCCTTTGTGGCAAGGGTTCTCTGGGTAAAAGCTTCTCTGTGTCAAAGCTTCCTTGTGTAAAGCTTCTGTGTGTAGAACCTTCTGTGTGTAAACGCCTCTGTGTGTAAACGCTCCTCCGTGTAAAGACTTCTCTGTGTAAAAGCTTCTGTGTGTAGTGGCGTCCTTGTGTAAAAACTCCTGTGCGTAAAGACTTCCCTGTGCAAAAGTTTCTGTGTGCAGAAGGTCCTCTGTGTAAAGACTTCTCTGTGTAAAAAGACTTCTCTGTGTAGATGCTTCTGTGTGTAAGCTTTTGTGGGTAAAAGTTTCTGTGGCCTCTCTGTGTAAAAGCTCCTCCGTGTAAAGACTTCTCTGTGTAAAAGCTTCTGTGTGTAGGGGCGTCCTTGTGTCAAAACTCCTGTGCGTAAAGACTTCCCTGTGCAATGTTTTCTGTGTGCAGAAGGTCCTCTGTGTAAAGACTTCTCTGTGTAAAAGGTTTTGTGTGTAAAGGGGTCCTTGTGTAAGAAATCGCTTCTATGTAAAGACTTCTCTGTGTAAAAGCTTCTGTTTGTAGCAACTTCTGTGGGTAAGAGCTTGTGTGTGTAAACGTTTCTGTGTGTAAAAACCCCTCTGTGCAAAGACTTCTCTGTGTAAAAGCTTCTGTGTGTAAAAGCTTCTGTGCGCAAAAGTTTCTGTGTGTAAACGCATCTGTGGGTGAACGCGTCTGTGTGTGAAAGTTCCACTCTGTAAAAACTTCTCTCTGTACAGAGCGCGTCTGTGTATACAAGCTCCTTTGTGTAAAACTTCTCTGTGTAAAGAAATCAGTGTGTAAAAGCTCCTCTGTGTAAAAATGTTTCTGTGTAAAAACTTCTGTGTGTAAAAGCTTCTCTGCGCAAAGCAAAGACTTCTCTGCGCAAAACCTTCGTATAATTCCCTTGCGTCATCGCAGCCATCTGAATAGACGCCATGGGGACACACAGGTATACATACAATATAATCGCTTCATAATCATTCATTTTTACATTCACTGATTAGCCACTATGCATCCACAACCTCATTCATCATTTATCATTCATCATCCTTCATCATCATTCATCTTAATGTCTTCCCTTCCTTCCTCTTTTGATCTACCCACTCCTGCTTGTCTTTCGGGCCACACGATCGTCTCTGCATAGGTGGCGATTTGTCCGAGAGGCGATTGCATTTGTTGCTCAGCTGTCATCCAGAGGCAGATCCCCAGGACTTCAGCCTTCTAAGTGCCATGGAACCACCGGATATGATGACAGGCTGCCAGGATTTAGCCTTGGAATGGCGCACCAGGTTGGCATGTCCAGTGTGTCAGGAAGGTGCCCTGGCACGGAAGACTGGAATGAGGAAGTCAAATTCCTGCTTTGGGGCTGGAAGTCTCGTTCTTGGAGGGCGCGGATCGACTTAGAAATTTGTAGAATGAACATTTGGAATGTGACGCAGTCTATCATCAACTTGACCAATTTGGATCTCACCATTGCAAACCCTCCAGTAAGCCAACATAGCTATGGCAGCTATGGAAAATACCCGTTTGAAATCAACCCCAGAGTGTTTTGCAGCATGATATAGTCCACAGGTGACTGGGAGGCAGTGACACCTACGCGATGTGACCCTGTGCGTGGTCAGCGTGTCACGTACATCGCACCATCTGGCTGCTTTGGTGGAGCAAAACCGCCGAAGGACTATTGGGAGCCTTGTCCTGGCGTCTCTTGGTTTGTTCCTGCTGAGTTTTTGGTACATCCTGGGAAAGCCGGATTCCAAATTCATCCAACTTCCAATGTCACTTCTCCTGCATGGAAATTCATGATGTTAACCTCTTTCTGGTATGTTCTTGCTCCCTTGCAGTCTAGAGTCCTCTGAAGTTGTGGTCGTTTTGATACAACTGCTTAGACCCGAATCTCCAATCTGTTCAAACCTAAGGTCCTAAACCTCGTGGCCTTTGTGGTCGTGGGAGCTTTCGTGGGTTGCATTCTATGTTGTTTGAGTATCTACGTTCTGCTCTTGCGGAGACGCTATGCCAAGTACATGATGTTAGAGGACAGTCAGTCCGCAGCCAATGCAGTTGCGCCAGCTAGTATTGGAGTTCCCGACAGTCCTGGAAACTTCGCTTGAAAAGCTGGATGCAGCTGACGAACTTTCCGAGGTTTCATCGAGCCAGTTGAGCCACGAACAAAATACCTCTGTTAATGGGTTATTCTAGGGGGTTGTACAATAATATATCGTTGCGCTGGTTTATGGGGGATTACATGGGATTACGAACTAAGCCATGCGGCCATAGTATGCCATAGTAATATGTAGCAAGCAACCAGTATTTGGGAAGGTTTCACAATGGGATGATCACCGTCATCCCGATGGGTTGAAGATGAAGCCCTCAGCAATGGACGCGGAAGTCCCATATGCCACGCAGCTTCAAGTCTTTTGGCTGTGACGATAATAAGCACTTGCATGCAGTCAATACTACATTACAATGTATATTTAATACTGCTATATATATATATTGCAATATTTGTATATAATGCACTATATCTTGCAATATATCTTATATACAATATATCTATATTTAAAGCTGGCTCTATTGAGCTGACATATAGCATCCTTGCCATCAAATCCAACCAGGCCGCGAACTGAGTCATGTGTGCCACGAAGAGCACTTGACGACTTTGAGGATGCCTCGCTCTCAGTCCGCCATGACACTGACTAAAGAGGAAACATCAGGTTGCTGTCACCAACTGCAGGGCCAAACTAGTGCTGATTATACTTTTCAGATACTTTTCAGTGTCAAGTCATCGTGGACCTCAAATTTGGAATCCTAGTTGATGCAGCGTCTTTGTGAAGCGTTCCTCACTATTTTCATCCGTTAGATTTTAACTTTCTAGTGACGACTGTCCTGATTCGACACATGATCTGGTCTCATGGAGTCCAATTTGCCTGCCGGATCTTTGTCCCGACAAAGTTGTATGTGATGAAACGGTACTTGTGTGACCAGTATATATGTTGTTATAGCTTGTTTGATGCCACGACACTTCAAATATCTTCAGATCACTACATATATAATAGGAGGTATGTATGTAATGTGATGTGATGTGATGTGATGTGACTTGATGTGATGTGATGTGATGTATTGTATTGTATTGTAATGCAATGTTATGTTGTGTTATCTTATGTAATGTCTTGTTATGTTTTGGTAATGTATGTATGTATGTTATGTAGTGTAATGTAAGGTAATGTACTGTAAGGTAATGTAAGGTAATGTAATGTAAGGTAATGTAATGTAAGGTAATGTAATGTAATGTATATAATGTATATAATGTAATGTAATGTAATGTTATGTAATGTTCTGTAATGTTTTGTAATGTTATGTAATGTAATGTTATGTAATGTTATGTAGTGTTATGTAATGTAATGTAATGTAATGTTATGTTATGTATGTATGTATGTATTAATGTAATGTACTGTATGTAATGTACTGTATGTAATGTACTGTATGTATGTATGTATGTAATGTATGTATGTATGTATGTATGTATGTATTAATGTAATGCAATGTATGTATGTATGTATGTATGTATGCATGTATGTATGTATGTATGTATGTGGGTATGTATTAATGTAATGCAATCAATGTATGTCATTAATGTATGTAATTAATGTATGTAATTAATGTATGTATGTATGTATGTCTGTCTGTATGTATGTATGTATGCGTGTAATGTAATTAATGTGTGTAATGTAATGTATGTATGTATGTATGTATGTATGTATGTATGTGTGTAATGTAATTAATGTTTGTATGCATGTATGTATGTAATGTAATGTTATGTAATGTTTTGTAGCGTATGTAATGTTATTTAATGTTATGTAATGTTTTGTAATGTTATGTAATGTAATGTTATGTAATGTTATTTGATGTTATGTTTTGTAATGTAATGTAATGTATGTAATGTATGTAATGTATGTAATGTATGTATTGAATGTAATGTATGTAATGTATGTAATGTATGTAATGTTATGTAATGTAATTTATTGTATGTTTTGTTATGTTATGTTATGTTATGTTATGTTATGTATGTATGTATGTACGTATGTATGCATGTGCGTACGTATGTATGTATGTATGTCTGTATGTATGTATGTATGTATTTATGTATTGGTTTGTATTGTTATGTATTGATATGTATTGTTGTTTGTTGTTATGTATTGTTATGTATTGTTATTTATTGTTATGTATTATTATGTATTGCAATGTATTGTAATGTATTGTAATGTATTGTAATGTATTGTAGTGTATTGTAATGTATTGTAATGTATTGTAATGTATTGTTTTGACTTGTTATGTATTGTAATGTATTGTTTTGTATTGTTATGTATTGTAATGTATTGTAATGTATTGTAATGTATTGTAATGTATTTGTTTTGTATTTTAATGTATTGTAATGTATTGTAACGTATGTAATGCATGTAATGTATGTAATGCATGTAATGTATGTAATGCATGTAATGCATGTAATGCATGTAATGTATGTAATGTATGTAATGCATGTCATGGATGTAATGTATGTAATGTATGTAATGCATGTAATGGATGTTATGTATGTAATGTATGTAATGCATGTCACGGATGTAATGTATGTAATGTATGTCATGTATGTAATGTATGTAATGTATAAAACGTATGCAATGTGTGCAATGTATGCAATGTATGTAATGAATGTAAGGTATGTAACATATGTTATGTATGTAATGTATGTAATGTATGTCATGTATGTCATGTATGTGATGTTTTCAATGTATGCAATGTATGTAATGTATGTAATGGATGTAATTTATGTAATATATGTAATGTATGCAATGTATGCAATGTATGTAATGTATGTAGTGTATGTAAATGTATGTATGCATGTACTGGATGTAATGGATGTAATGGATGTAATGTATGTAATGTATGTAATGTATGTAATGTATGTAATGTATGTGTATGTATGTGTATGTAATGCATGTAATGTATGTCATAATGTATGTAATGTATGTAATGTATGTAATGTATGTAATGTATGTAATGTATGTAATGCATGTATGTAAGTACACACATACAGTATACATTGTAATGACATTATAGATACAAGAACATATCATACACATACACACGTATTATACAGATGTGACCAACAGCAACAACCCTTTGGTATTCAGCAACGCGCTGCCGAGGACTTCGTGTACCGAGAAGAGGTCTCGAAACTGAAGGCCCTGAGAGCTGCACAGCGGCTGAAGGCCGGCCGTTGGGGTTGTGGTGGCCTGCCACTGGTGGATAGGGAACATCTATGCCGTTTATAGGGATGTTTAAATTTTTTTAGAAAAGAGAATAGGATATGCTATAATAGTCTATACTAGTGTTTTTGGGATAGTTTACGAAATTTATGGGAGATTTTATAGAATTAGAAAATGCATAGAACCCAATGGCAGGGATATGTCTGGCGATCTTTGGGATAGTTTATCATATTTTAGCATATTTTGGATATTTATCTTTACCGCAGTAGTTTGATTGCCCAGCCTGTTGCGAGGTGCAGAGTTCGTCTTGGGACGATGATTTAGCCCATTTCTTAGCGCAGAGCTGAAACACACATGGAGTCTCCCTTGCATTCAGGACTTCAAAAATTAATACATCGAGAGACCTCGAAGGGTGAAACTGTGCACATTTCTGCACTTGCGCAGGTTTGCACAAGGCAGTCTCAAGGTCGAGAGTCCAGTTGCATGCGACGATGGGATCCTGTTTCTTTTCGCAGTAAGGAATGTGAACTATTTCACCTGGTCACAATTTCTGTATACTTCATAAGAGCACCATGACGGACTTGCGCCAAATACAGCGGGAGTCACCGAGGCGTGGCTTGGGCAAATCTTTCCCTGGCTGGTGGTCTTCTTTGTAGGTGCAATCGGGGTCTACCGAGCCGTGGACATCCAATGGTTTATCGTTTGCGCTGATGAAAGCAGCGTGGAAATACCTAACTAATGTTAACTACTGAGACTAACCGTTTGTAGAAATGATCCAAAATGATGATCCAAAATGGAACCCCCCCATCATCATTTTCCAAATGCTTCAATAGCAATAAATTGGGGTAAATCCACACTTATGCCTACACAGAGCTGAAAGGGGAAAGGTCTCATTTGGGGTGAGCAGATGAGTTGTGCAAAAAACGGCTCTGGGATCGTGATACTCGTAGACAATGACAGTCATTTTGTCTCTAGACGTCCAGACGACAGGGAACGTGACAAAAATCACCAGCAATGAACAGCCAGGGTAAGCCCATGTTAGGTTGGGCTCTCTACACCATTGCCAACCCAACGCAACTGGGTCAGCAAGCAGTGGATGCATGGATTCTCAGGTGGTTGCAGATGAGCGACCTGGATAGATTTGCTTAATGTTGAGAAAGAGGGCTGCTGCCTTTTAAATGGAGAGGGATCATAAGCAACTGTTTGCTGTATCGACTGCTAGCAGATGGATTCATTGAGTGATTTGGGTGGAATTGAGCTTACGGGGACATATGGTTCTTGTAAATGGGGCACCCCCAAATTCCAAAGCAGTGCTATCATTTGTACCAATGTAGACATGTCAATCTTGGGCTATAGCATGTCATACCCGTACCCCATGTCCGGACAAACCTACTGTATACAATACTACCGTTTGCATTCTTTTGCGGGGGTTATCGCTATGGATGATTGATATCCATGATCCAACCAGTTTTTCAGAAGCATCATGTTTCCGACACGCAGAATTGGGATGCAGCCTAGGAATGATGTGGTGCCAGCGGGTCGAATGTGGGAGCCTTGGGGGGCTGCATTGGTCATGATGGATGAACCAGGGCCTGTATGGTCAAACATGGTATGATGACACAGTCCGCTTCATCCATTGACCCTGACTGTGAACCGCTGGTTCCTTTTGCAATGCTTCCGCACTGTAAATGGAAAGAGATGTAAACAAAATACAGACAGTTTGCTTGTGCCACGCAGATTCCATGGCTCTCAGTTCTTCCGGAAACACAAAGAGCCATGGACGGGTTTAGCATCCTACCAGGAAGCATCCCCGCAGGAGATGAAGCGTCCAGCTTCTCCACCGTCTCCTGTGGCCGGGAGGAAAAGTGCTCGCGTCCTACTTCGAGACCCGGTGCTTTCTTTGAGAGGAGGTATACACCTGACACATCTTCGATGAAGAATGAAGGGCCCGAAGGGCAGGGTCATGTTGGCCTGGGCCAGGGCCGATCACAGGTGAAAGCTCCTAAGCCTCAAGCACAGAGATGCTACAGAAGGAAAGTGATGCGAGTCAAGCGTGAAGTGCTTTTGAGATGATTTCTGAAGGAATATGGATTCGTAGATCCATGCAAACCCGCAAAGAAAACACTCTTCTCCGCCATCTCCCCAAAGGAGTTTTTCTTTCCGAAGGAGGTTTTCTACCCTATCCACCTCGCAGCTCACCTCGGAGATGCCGAACTCGTGCGCACTCTACTGGCCCGCGGAGCAGATCCGGAACAGAAGTCTTCGAAAGGCCAGACACCAAGTGATATCGCCCGAGCAGCAAATAGAGTGAGATGGCTCGCACGAGACCTGGACTTTCTGTTTTTTTATATTTTCCCGGAAAATTCACCATGCAAGGAGACTATGGGGATTTATTGGGAATGGTTTCATTCTGCTCACTTTTTGAGATTTTCCCTAAGCAAATCCAAGGATATGGTTCTGATGCTGCTGGTTGACAAAGTTGCCGTCCTGAATTTTCGGGATGCGCTCGCACTGATGGAACCCTGATGCCATTTTCGCACCCGGGATATCCATATCAGATTTCGGCTTGACGCAGTTTGGTGCCAGCCGCCTGTGATCAGGTTCAAGGACCCCAGCTGATAGGGGGTAATATTACCCAATATCAGCATTGTTATCATGATCCTTTGTGGGAATCCTATATAGGTTTTTAGGGATGATTCGTATTCCACGAGGTTTTTGACACTGCTCATGTGGTGTTCTCCCGAATCGTACAGGATTTTTGACTGTTTGCATAAGCAATAATCTATAGCATTTTAGTGTGGACGTGTGGAGCAGCAGAAGTATTACCAGGCTTCGGTGGCCTGATTCTGTGACCGGAATCCCACCCAGAAACCATGGTTCATTTGGTACCCTATTTTATAGAAAGTCCACTGCAAGATTGTCCAAAATAATGCCAGAGCTTTAGTTTGTTTTTATATAGCCTCAAAGTCAGGAGCTCCCCAAAGTACTCTGAACTTAAGTTCATGATGCAACATCCATCTCTCTCTCTCTCTGTGGAAACATTGCCTGGGAATCTCAGGTTCAAAGTATAGACTTTAAAGATTTCGGCTGAAACTTTTCCTTGGAATCTTGAATCATGAAAATTTTCATTTGACTTTGGCGAACATACTCAGGACCTGCTCCAAAATACTCCAAAATGATGAAGAAAACACACTTGGACCGGTTGATGCTGTGCAGTCCTACTTCTAGCCAGCTTCTGCTCATGCTTGGCAGTGATTCAAAGCTCTCATTTGCAAGAACCTTTAATTCACGAAAGTCGAGTTGAACTTTTCATACTTTCTTGGTTTGTGAGGGGCGTGGGCTTGCAGTTTTGAAAAATCGTACCCTCCGATGTCATCAAATATGGCTTGCCAGGAAATTCCCTATTTAGTTCGATGATTCCCCCCTGAACAAACCTCCATTTAGGGCCTAGGGATTTCCCAGCCAGCCATGTTTGACTCCCGATTCGGGTACCCAATTTTTTCAATCAACACATCAGCTGGTTGGCCAGCTCCACAAAAAAACTGCTTGCTCGCCTGCTTATCCGGGCTTATCCCTCAAAATTCAGGGGGTGACTGTCCCGATGTTTGGTCATATCATCTAAAATATCTAAAGAACTATCCAACTACTGTAAACACCACTGGCAGAAGTGCGACTATAGGCAAAAAGAATTAGACGCAACTTCTCAGAAAGAACAATTGGAGTCCAAAGCGTTTGCAGCTTTTTCATATGTTAAGTGGTGTTGTTGTTTTTGGCAGGTTGGCAAGTTGGTGGTTTAATTTTTTTGGGGACTTTGGCAGGACCTGGCAGGAAGTCTATTTGCGATTGAATTGAATATATTTTTGGAGACGCGTTTCATATTCTCGATACTCAGTCTTGGAAATATTTGTACATTTTGTTTGCATGATTTCGATTTTTCCCGTCCTAACACTAACACACTTGTAGACCTGAACAGCTCTGAAGCAGTGGACTTTGTTAGAGGGTACGTTTTGCGTACGCAGTTTGGAAGACTTGGGACTCTTTGGCCGATCAGACCGCAAGCCCAAGTCAACTGAGACAGCTGTTGCGATGTGGAAGGATGAATAACTCCCGCAGTTGAAAGCTTGGCAGGGTGCGTGCCAGGCACGCTACTCAGCAACTGTAATTTTCCAAGTGGGAAGAGAAGCAAGAGATAGCAAGATAATTAGTTGGCTTCCCCAAAGAGGTATATTTGCATGTCCCAATTTCCCAAGACAAGTTTTAGATAGAAATGTTGGTCGCTGTAAATTGGTTTCACTTCTTGGATTTCACTAGCGAGCTGGCTCTGTCAAGTGGTGAGTGTTCGACCTTGCTTTCTACACACAATTTTCCTGTGGAAGTTGTGGTTGCGAGACCATTCTGTAAACTTCCTATACCCGAGGCTTTCCTCATCGCAGAAAAGCTGATACGCGACGGAGTGCAGACCGAGAAACATCATTGGATCCAGAAATTGGATCATATTTAGTACACACAAATACAAACACATGCAATTCATGAGATGGAAGTGGAATAATCTGATGTGTTCAATTTCGTCTTTGGACCGAGGCCCCGCCTCAGTGACTGGCTGAAGAAAGCGCCGCAACTTGCTGGCTCCTGGGGAAACTCGGTTGCAAAAACATCCAAGGCACTGAAATGTGGCTGATTTCCAGGGCCATGAAACACAAGACATATTTAATTTGAAATTGGGTACTTAAAAGTTTGGACACCTCCAAATCAAGACTGGTTGATTATCACCATGTCCCCCCAAATTGGCTAAAGAATAGGGATGAATCTGATGGTATTTTGAGATCGCTGGGCTTGAGGTGGACGCGCGCCACCCGCTGCCGAGGAGGGGAAGCCGTGATCTTGGTCGTTAAGTTTTGGAGAAAAAACAGTGCACCATGGGTTTCCTAGTTTCGGAAAAATAAATCCATTTATATCCATTCTTATCCACTGCCATTGATACCATAAATCGATCATAGATCCATTGTTTGAAGAGCTTGGTGTTTCAACAACTCCTACGGACTCCTACGGACTCCTACGGCGCCTGGCTTTCTGAAGCAGGATGTGGCAGATGCCCGGCGCCGCCAGGCCATTTTCCTGCAAAGATGGCCACAGAAGCCACGGTTTTTGTTTCTTAGACTGATACGTTTATTGATGTTTATTGATGTTTATTGATGTTTATTGATGTTTATTGTTTTAGAATCATTCTAGAATCATTTTAGAATCTTGGGTACACGCTTTATCGAACATGCCAATCTGTGACAATGACCAGATTTGTAGATCGTTCTGCCTCGGACTCATTGGCCACCTTTGCCGAGAACTCATGTAGCTAGGGAATTGTAGCCAGAAACATTCCAGGGCGGATACACGATGGTTGTGCTCCAACTCAAGGAGATATGTCGTGTTTCGGATCCGCATTCAGCATGAGTCACGCAGCATGTTGAGGTTCTGGATTGAGCCAAGTTGCAGCATAGCAGGTAAGACAGCTGTAGAAAAATCGGGAAAATGATCGAACACCGAAGAAGCGAACTCAGATGGGCGGAATGGCGTCCTAGTCACTCTGTCGCCATGACATCCGTAATACCAGCGGATGTTTCGGTTGGAAGCTCAGCACTTGACATCGTCAGCTGCCACTGGGGGATGAACATCCATAACTACCAGATACTTTCCCAGCGATTTTTGGGGTTCAGCCTAAGGTACCACGGTTTTGACCCAGACTCATATCGGCGTATTCTTAAACACGGCCCGGTTGCAATGGATATTCGATAGGTCCGATAGGTGATGTACAGGGCCTGGTGACCGCTTGGAGCCGCTCCGCCTGAGTCCATGCATGTCGAGACGGACGGTATGGAGCCCAGGCGCTCGTTGAGTGGCACGGTACTTATTCCATCTGATTCCCATCTACCCTATATGAAAGACCCCCCTCTGTATGATGTTTTTTTTTTTAATATTATCCCCTACTAAATTATGGTTTCTGAGAAGTGTTTTGGATGATGGTCCCTTTTCCCTTTTGGCGAATGGCCAAGGTTGGATGTCTTTGGACGCGGCCAGAGGTGTTAGTGCAAACCAGACATTGCATCAGCTCCTCATTTCATTGTGACTTACCAGGAGATGAATTGCGAAAGAGAGAAACAATGCAGAAAATAAAGGGACAGAAAAGAGAAGGTAAAGGGAGGTGAAGATGCAATAGACTCAATAGACTTCCAAATTCCTTGGCGTGACATACTTGTTTGAGCAGGAACACACTCTTCTTTAGCCGTAAACGCTACCTGATTGTCAGACACCTTTCGCAATAAGATCATACAGGGATTCCAATCGCAAATCCACTATTTCACATCGCCAGTCTTCCAGAAGGTAGCCCGCAGCGGGCGCCGAGACCGAAGGGTGATTTTGTGAGGTTTGTTTCCCCCGGAGGCAGAGTCTCTCGATGTTTTCCAGATATGGAGGCGAGGGGAAGTCATCAAGGGACCGATGACTATCATGACCATTCAGATCGGCGCATCCATGTGTTGAAAGGCCTTGAACGCGCATCTGACACCAATTTTCAGCAAGTCTTACAGAATTTGATGGGTCTCTTTGAGGCATGATTTTGTTTAAATCAGCTTAAAGAACATGGATTTGGACTTTGAACTAACGCATTGAAGCGAGATTTCTTGATTGCTAAACTCCCAAAACAAGCTGCTCCCAGTGCTGCGGCGGAAGTGGCAGCTGGACGTTTCTACGACTCTCGGAGTTGAAACGGTGTGGTTTTATGGGGAGAGAGGAAGAGATTGGCAATGAGTCGTTACTATAGTGGATTAGTATTGGATTAGTATGGATTAGTTACTTACTGTAGCTAAGCTTAGCTTTAATTACTACAGTTCTGGCAGATGCAGACAATTCGTTAGCCGAGAAGTATTGTGTTTGTTGGGAAGACCGAAAGATAGGGAGCACGGCTAATTATTCCAAAGGAATTCCGTGGCCCTTGGTAAAAACAATTGTATCCCTTCACATTTTGTAGTTGAGGGTCTAATATGATATGCTTTGACATTTGATGTATGGATACTACTAGCAACCACACTCAGATATACTTCCAGCATGGCAGCTCCAGAAGGCGGCCCTAAAAGTGCCAGGCGTAAAAGTGTCACTTTTAGAGGCCAGTAGCACCACCAACCTCTGAATCCAGGAGGTTTTGAGCCATGCATTTGTGAACTTGATCCGCGGATCAATAGATTGAATTCTGATAATATTTTCATATATTTTCCGGTGACTGTGCTTTCACTATAGATCCTCTGGCATTTGCAGCACTGGTAAAGGCCCCTGAAAGCTTGAAATCTCCAAGTTTTCACCCATGGCTTGAAAGCACCATTGTTTCGAAGTGGACTTGCTGGTTCTCACTTTAACATATTCCTCCTTTCAGCAAAGTTTGTCGAGAATTTCATAGAATTTTGGATGGTTTGCGGCAAAGGATGCCAAGTTTGCAGCTCAGCACCCCGTCGCTGAGGAGTTTTCACCAGCTTCAGCATGGTCTGAAGCTCAGCCTGACCTCTGCGCGTCATCCCCGTCATCTCATGGGATTTCTGGCGATCTCACATCTTACCCCAACGGACAAGGGGGGAACCGGGTTATGTTAATCTGATAATGCCCATGTACGTATATAAATATGTGATGATATATGATAATATGTTTCTATGTATATGATTGTATTATACACAGAATGAGTGGATTCAAATGCATATAAATGCATCATTACAGAAAGAGTTCATAGACGTCCACTGAATATATGTAGCATGTACAACATGGCATTTTTAACATATTCAGGCTGGCTGTTGTGGCCTTGGGCTGGCGCCAAGGTGATACATTTTATATCCATTGTGGTTTGTGTGGCTGACTTCGAGTCGGCCCGTTGCTCAGGTCCAACCCATTGTTGGTGGGAGGGATTTCTTCAGCGGTTGTTTCATCATACCGAGGTATGGATGGGGCTTCTCATGGTGGCCTTGGCAGGTGAAAGGGTCAATGGCTTGTCAGCTTGATTTTAAAGGTGCATTTACCCTCTGGTAAACTAACATAGCCATGGAAAATCACCATTTTCAATGGGAAAATCCACTATACATGGCAATTTTCAATAGCTGTGTTAAATTACCAGAGGGTACAATCTACACACGTCTTCCACTTGTGCCGGACCCCTTTATGTCAAGATATGTCAAGTTTCCACAGCGCTTCCGAAGGCAAACTGATCTTGGTTTGCTGGATGCTGATCATTGGTTGGAGGACTGCACACGACAGACTCATATGGCTGTGTCTGACACTTCGGTACCCCACAATCCACTCATAAATCATCATTTTCCCTGTCAAAATTACCATTTTAGAGGGGTATGTATACCCCATTGATCCCTATTGGTTATATAAATATAATATTATATATATATACATATGTATATATCCAATTATCCAATCATATCCTGCATAAATCCCTAGATAAAGTGCTTGGTTTATTTCCTCTTCTGATGGGTCAAATCGCCAGTCGTTAGTCGCCGGCAGAGCACTGCAGATTTTTCAGGAACCCCATGTCCGATCCCACTCGAGAGGCCTGGGATAGGGATATGATTGGGTTATAATGGGAATCAGTGGGAGCTGATATAAGATAATACTATGGGATATTCAATGGGAATTATAGTCTCATTTGATGGGCTTATATTGGCCAATTAGAATGGGAGGATTTTTTCGGATTTGAGCAGAAATGGGGGAGGCAGGGCCTCTGGGTGTGGTACTCCCAGGACCACTGTGCTAAATACCTGCTTATGTTTCACATACAATCGGGACACTTGCCTGACCTTTCCTCAACACGGGTCGATAAAATCCGATGTTTGTCTGGAAGGCAATCACCAGACTACTGGTTCCGAGAAGGGACAACCTTGATCAAACGAGTGAAAAAGAAAACAAGGTAGACGGTGGACATTGCCTGGTGAAGGGACATACCGAACCAGCACAGAATAATCTCCAACAGTCCAAGCGGATGTGCTTGGCGATTGGCATTATTATTGTGATTTCTATTGGTATGTTAGGTATTACATCTCCCAATTAATACATTATATGTGTGACATATATATATATATTATGTATATATATACATAATATATATATACATAATATATATAATATGCATATGTAAATGTACATCATACGTCTCACCAAATCTCACTATCGCAGCAGTTATGCTACCCTTTACATGTTGGGATCATCATAGTCCTTTATTAAATCCATTAATCATGCCATTTTCAGCGAGAAAAAGCCATGGGGCCGACACCTGCAGGTGGAAAGATGGCAGCAACTGCAAGAGCTCCATGCATTGATGGCGGTCGGCAGCCCATGACGGCAATGGAATCACCGAAAAACGGGGATGACTTGGCGATTGTTACAATCGACTATAATATAGTCTCATATATATAGTATAGTATAGTAAAGTATAGTATAGTACAGAATAATATAGAATAATATAGAATAATATAGAATAATATTAATAGTTGCAGCATCCTAATCAACTATATCATATTTAGAATGGTTGTCTAACTATATGATCGCAATAGTGACAATAGTTATAGGATTTGCCAACTATAGTTGCATTCTATCCGGTTAAATACTGGTTGCCATCTATCCAGTTACCCTCTGGTAATCAAATGTGGCAATCGACTATCAATGTGGTTTTTAAAGGGAACATACATAATTGTAAATCTGGGATTATCCATTGCACTGTTTGACTACTTTAGGGTAGGATTTTGGGGTAGCCTATTTCTTGCACCCAGTTGTGCGCCCAGAAGGTGGAAAATAACATGGAATCGTCGAAAAAGATGAGCCTGGGAAGGATTGGAAAAACATGCATGTGATTTGTGAGAAATTGTAAGCAGATCATTTGGGATCCATTTTGATTAGAGGCCTCACGGCGATTGACTATTTATGACCAGCCACATGTTACCACTAGGTGGACGGTGGCGAAACCACTGGCAAAAGATTGGGGCGCCTTTTGTGACCGAAAGTCAGCCATTTCCCCATGTGTGAAGCACAGGGATGACAAACCATGGACCCTCTGGTAATTTGTTACATAGCTATTGAAAATGACCATTTATAGTAGATTTATAGTGGATTTTCCCATGAAAAATGGTGATTTTCCATAGTTTTTTGTATGTTTATCAGAGGGTACCCTCCCTGTTGATCGTTCCCCCAGATTATGTGCCTTTTGAACGGTGGCACTATCAGCAGCATGGGCGCAGTGGAGGCGAAGGGCTCCGCAAAAGCGTAGCGGCGTAGCGGCCTAGCGATCACATAAAATGGGGAAAACCATAGGAAAACCATAGGAAAATGGTGATTTAATGAGGGTTCAATGGTGGTTTAATGGGATTTAATGGGATTCACCCTCTGGTAATTTAACATAGCTATTGAAAATCACCATTTTTAATGGGAAAATCCACTGTTTCTATGGTCATTTTCAATAGCTACGTGAAATTACCAGAGGGTAATAGGGAAACTCATGATCATCAGATTTAGGGCCTTAGTTTCATACAAAAAAAAATTGTCCACAGATCATCTCAGATGCCGACAGATCATCTCAGAAAAGAACATCCAGGCGACAAGTCCTTTAAAGACAGTATGACATGACAGAAATGGGGGTTTCTTAAAATGGGGACTCCAACATTCATTCAATTCATTGGTCATTTCTTTGGGGGGGAAACGAACGGATTTGCCATTTGATGATGATTGAGCTGTGCAAACAGTCCATGTCCGATGCCCTACTTTCGTCGCGCCTCAGTTGCAGCAGCCTACTGTGGAGCCCAGAAGGCAATCCGGCGCCGATTTTTGGTCTGTCTGAAAAAGGGTTACCCTGAATCCCAAAATTCCTAAAATCCAATGGTTCAATCATGATTTTGCCCTCTTTGAGTGACCGTTTGACAATGGGATACCCCATTTCGGTCTACACAAGAAGGCAGTGACATGTTGACATCCTCTCACTCTCACTCTCTCACTCTCTCTCTCTCCCCGCTTGGAAAGCTCCCGTGAGTCTCTTTGTAGACTAGTTCCTTTCTCCTCAGAAATGATTGAGTGCACTGTAAGGTCTTTGCCCCTGCTTTGATCTTCCATTTTTACTTTCCTGACCACGGCATCAAAACTTGAAGCCGGAAAACTTGACCGATATTCTCCCAGATACTTTGACGGGATTAAACTCCGCTCTTTGACTATGTCATACTAACTAAGTGATAACTACGTAAGAATGATGTAGTGACTACTTAGCCACAATCCTGGGTGCTTCTTGTTCTCCGCTGCCAGGGTGTTGGTGCCTTTCTTTTTGGCCTTCTCCGAGTTCCTGTGCTGCGCAACAGCTCCTTGGCTCGATATAGCGTGCCGTTGGAATGATGTAAATGAGCCCCAAGTGGTTACTGGGTGATTGGATCGTCTCAGGCCTTCCACGGCCGACAAAGTGCAGGAAGCCTCACTGTGATGCAGCCCCTTGGCTATTCGAGTAATGGCAGCAATGGCCGAAACCACACTGCTGCCAGTGGTTGTAGATTTTCCTGTTTAGGGTCTACTACCAGACTGGTAGATCCACCTATTGGAAACCCAGGTTTGTTCGCTCTGGTAGATCACGTGCCTTGCTTTGCTTCCTGGTCCAAGGATTCGAACAGCACATGTTGAGGACAGCGAAAGCGCCCAGGTGCCCTATGATCAAAGCCTCACGACTGGGATCACTGGCACATTCTAAGGAGCTACCATGGAGAGAGGTGTATGAAAGGTCCACTTGCCATTCTAAAAAGAATTTTCACCATGACTGATATAGTGCTACAAGTCCCTCCACCGGCCCATGACTTGCATTGCCGCAGAAGCAGCGTGCAGCAGAGATTCAGTGGCACTTCTTGCTCCACCTCACAAATTACAAGTGAGCAGCTCAGAATTGCTGGTGACTTCTGATTCTGGAATGATGGAAAGAGCGGGAGCTGAAAGAGTCACTGGACTCCGCTGGTCATTCACCTTTGATACATTTTGATACATTTTGATGCTGTGATTTCGATGATTAACTTGCATATTAGGCTCATGAATTGCCTTTATATGGAGCTCTTGCCAAGATGCGATTGGTACCAAACACTCATTGCGTAGGTGAAGCGTGTTTCTCTTTAGTGACAGTAGTGATGATTGACACCAAACACCGTTTGGTGCTGCACTTTCATTCCTTCCTTATCCGACATTCTAAAAGATCCCTTCCACGCGGCCTCAGTTACAGTGCTACTCATGCGATTTCGATTCCTGGACAGGGCGAGGAGCAATCTCTGGCAGGGTGGAAACCTGGTTCATTGGAAATAGATTTGACTAGTTGAAACCCACAGACAGGGAGGTGTCCTAAAATGGAGGCACCCCCAAATCATCCATTTCAATAGAATTTTCGGGTACCCCCATGGATTGGAACCCCCCCAAAAGTATGGAATAAGTTGAACGTGGTGTGAGGAAGCACACGTTTCCGTAACTATTCCAACAGCACACTACCCACCAGAGTCACAACAGCCATAAGAATGGGTACTGTTCAAAACCTTGGAATTTCACAGACAAGCATAGTGTTGGACATCCTCCACATGAAAATCGGAAACACTGGCTGGGTCCCAGGATATTTTCAGATAATAAGGTCAATTGATGGAGCAAGATGCCAGTTGGTCTAGTTTCGGGTGCCGAAAACGTGCATGTTCCTCGGTATTCCAGGACGTGCAGAAAACCACGACTCAGGTGCCGATGTGTTTCTGGCTGTTGAACTGCTACACTGATTTCATCTGATTTCCTGCACCAGTCACAGGCCACTTGCCCCATTTGCTGCAGCCTAAGTGGTTACTGGGTCGGTCATCTCCGTCATCTCTCATCATTTCCACTCTCAACATGTCCCGGGTCATGGATGTCATGATCAGTTTGTCAAGGTTTGGATGGCTTGTCTGATGGAGACGAGGCGCTTGATCTGTAGGATCACATGACATGCATGTTTCCCAGCTGTGTATGATCACTTCTATGTAGATGAAAGAACACCGCCTTTCGAGAAGACATGCACCACGGTTAAACGTTGGATGATATACCCTAGATGATCATCAATCCATTTTCATAGGGATTTACCCTCTGGTAAACTAACATAACTATGGAAAATCACCATTTTTAATGGGTAAATCAACGAACTAAATGGCCATTATATATCCATCCCATGATTTGCGGAATCCCGATGGCAATCCAGATGGATCCAGGTGTCGCAGCCTTTTTGCTCGCACATCTTTCATCGAAGCTGCTTGGAGGGATGGGTCCGCTCCCTAGTGACCACGACGTTACGACGTTGCGCCAACGTGACTTATCGAAAGACTGGAGCTCCAACTGGATCCAATGATCAGCTTACATAATGGATATAACTGGATATAACTGGATCCAAATATCAACCATTATCAGCTTATTTAAGGGCTCTCATTGCTATCATTGGTTTTGTTTTTCGCAGGAATTTGTGAGATGAGAACTTTGTCAGATCCACTAGCTCAGGTGGAAACCCTGAGCCACAATCTGGCGCAGCATCGGAGGGATTTCACTGAACAGGTGCTTGGGCTAAGCGGCTAAGCAGTTGGGAGATTTGAGAGCAGGTGCTTTGACGAACAGGTGACAAAATCGGGTACTTGAAACAGATGTCCCTGTAGGAGTTGGAGGATAGAAGCTAGGTTCTGAGGATCAATCAACAGTAGTAGATGATTGGTAAGATTTTGCCAACCTGACACGATCCAATCTAACCTTGACTTTACATGAAGCGATCGAATCAAATTTGCCTGACAGGTGCTGTGCCCATTACGCTGCGACAGCGCCAAGGTTGGGACTGCGATAGTGGCACCTTGTGTCAGATGGCACCCTCAAGGGTTTGCGAGTTGACCTTCCCCAAAATTGCTGCTTGTTTTGCAGCCTTGCAATCAGCTTCGAAGTTGGACGATCAAGTTATTGCAAGCTGAGCTGAGTTGGATGACGTGCAACTGCAACGAATTCTTTGGTCAAGTTCTAATGATTTGCATTCACAAAATTGCTGGACACTTCCGTGCAATAAGATGTTATACCTGCTTACTAAGAGTCTCTTCCATCCACAGTGATTTAGTGACCATAGCTATAGTGATGACATGTGATGACTGGTTCTCATATTTTGTCTCCAAAAATCCCCAGTCACTTTCTTTGCCAGGTCGGACTTGTGAACGTTGTGAACTCCATAACGCCAGTATCATCGATCACACCATCCTCTGGACTGCAGAGGATGGCGGTAGTCCCACCAGTCCCACCATAGAGACATATTGTGATCACATGCGGCCAATATGCCTCACCATCTCCAGTTTGACTTGCGGCTGCCGTTTTTTGCAAAGCATTCAGAATTGCTGTAATATGCTGTAATTATATGTGATTATGTAGTCTCCATGGTGAGAGAAATCGTCTGGCTATTTCGATTATATCTTCAGCTGCTTGGTCTGTGGATCATCAGCTCAGGGCTGGGTCATTTGGTCCCTGAATCTTGGGGACGTCTCATGTGAGGTCAGATGCCAAAGTTTGGGCAGCAACCTATTGATTTTCTGGCATTTCGCAGAATCCAGTTTGAATTCATGAAGTCCCGCCGACCCTGTC